AACAAGAGAAGACTATAGCACAATACGACAGAAGCAATCCTGGTTGGGTGATCCTTCTAGTTGCACAGCGCCTGCTGTACAGGACTTATCCCCGCCCGTCTGTAGTCCAAAACGTACCTCAAAAATATTTGAACAGAGTAGCTGTGAAGTAGTGTCGCTATAAGTAGACGTAAGTGCACAAGGAAGTAACACTAATATACCGTTACTTATGCGCACGTCTCACATTCAGACATTCGACGCCAACGCCTCCGGACTTGCCACTGGCCCAGAAGTCTCAGGAGGGCGATAACAGCCACCCCCATATATATACCGGCATGTCACTGACAACCATTTGCAGAGGCAAAGTACTGGAGTATTTCTCCTCCGGCATTTTGTGCACCAGTGTAATCGCCGTTGATGAACACCACAGATAATTTTTTGCCTCTAACCCTGGTGGAGATTCCCTGCCTAGCACATGGTCAGGGGCTGGTAGTATTTTCAAAAGTAGTAAAGTTGGTTAATACTACTACCACTTTATTTTTGGTAGGACTAATATTAATACCGAGGTGTAACGGTATTCACTTTGGGTATTAGAATTACTTTTTCCACGCAGTGGAATATTAGCCTTACAGTACTACTTCCAGGTACCCTGATCGAGCATTCCAGCCCTCATTTGGCAATTTAAAATCGTGTGGCTTCCCTCCACCACTCTCAATTTGTTTCATCGGCATACCTGAACTCGAGCTATCGGACAACGGAAAATGGGGTGCGTGGTAGAGGGCTGTCAGGAAGGCGACGAGCTAAGGACAGAGCGTGTACTGTGTGCGGAAACTGGTCCATCGCATGTGCGCTATTGGTGTTTATGAAGGGGCTGGCTCCGAGCTAAATAAGAGGTAGTTGTGCCTTATTTATTGTCACGGCACGCTAATAAGCACGTATTTACTTTAAATACAGGTTCTGAAGCGAATCCTGCGTGCAAGTCGTGCATACAACCGTGTCTTCAAATGCCCCTCCCAATTATTCCACTGCGAAGCGAATGGGTTCATCTGTCCAGTCCACCAACATTTGGGTTGGGTTAGACATAGACTTCGTACCCTCGCCGGACATACCCGATGATACAGCAGTTCATCGAGCAGGAAAGCGACGGAAGACTACAAATACTGTTGCTACCCCGTCAGATTCGAGTGGAAAGATGAAGGCCGCTCCAGTTAAGTCTAGAAAGAAGCGTCTGAAGACGCCTCTCGCGTTGCAGCTTGCACCTCCAGTGTCGGACCTTGGCGTACCACTCTCTATTACCCATGCACGAAAGGTAGGCGCATTGGATGATGTTTGGGATCTGATTCATACACTGAATACTCCATACAAGAAACAGAATCCATGGAAGCAGTTGAGATGACTGTATCGGAATATTTGTGTGCTGTGCTGTCTACAAATCAAATCTCGGACCAAGACAAACAAGTACAGTTGGGAAGATGCTCTTCGGAATACTAAGAACACAAGCAACGCGAAGGATCACATCAAATCGAAGCATGCCGATCACCCATTGGCAATTCTGGCGGAGACATGTGCTACCGAGAGATCGAAGACGGACGTCGAGGTCGCAGAGGCCGATGCCCAGGCCGTATTGGACCTGACACGAGATCCGGAAAGTGCTGGTACTTCTCAGGCTTTGACGGGTACTGCTCCTACTGAAGATGGTGACATTGTAAAGCCTTCCCCCATCCAAATGGTTCTTTTGCGCAGATGAGAAGACAGTGAACGTCTTAATTTCCAAGTTTCTACTTTCACAGGTAAACCGTACACTATTTGTGCGTCTGAGACTTTCAAAGATGTCATCCGAATGGCTACCGGTAATACCTCCTTCCAGGTATTGGGTCGAGACAGACATGTTTGACTTCTCAATGGCCAATTCCAGCTGTTTTGTGACATAGTGAGGGGCACTATTATCTACTGAGTTTGAGAATGCAAGTCGGCTGAAGTTCCTTATTTTGATGCACGACATTTGGACCACCTGTGGGAAGGAGAGTATCGTAGGTGCACCTGTCGCTTTTATCGACAGCTCATGGAGATTTCGGTTCATTGCAGTTCTCGCCCGTGTTAAGAATGATGGCCACAACGCTGCTAGCGTCGCAAAAGTTATTGAAAGTGCTCTCAAAACAAGGTACAACATCGACATTCGCAGTATGACTCGATTCACAATGTCCGACACTACTCCTTCAGCAAAAAAATGTGGCTAACCACATTGATACGGAACAGGAGAGCTGTTCCATGCATCTTCTCAACCTGTGCATTGGCTATGGCATTGGACTTAAGGATAATATTCAGACGGTGACTGTGTGGAATGATGCGACGAGTTCCTGGGATGAAGTAGTTACGACGGTAACTACGGGGAGGGGGGCTCTAAACGAGGGTGACAACGTGCTTAAAAAACTCCGTGATCTGAGCAATTACTTCAGATCGCCTTAACAGCGTGATGCACTGAAGAGCATCCAATCGGCTCTTCCATTTCCCGAACTTGACACTCTGACGGACGTGGACGTCCGAGTTGCCTACACGTGCAAACTGATTCGGAGATCAGTAGTGAACTACTGGGCATTTGAAGCTTACTTTGAATCTACCAAAGACTCGAGCAGCGTGTGGACAGCCCTGAGCGCCCAGGACTGGATACTCGCAGTGGAAATGGAGGTGGTTACCCACTGTATAGCCAATCTTGCGCTGGTAGAAGTTCAGAGTGAAAATCTAGTATTGTCTTACATGGTAGTGTTCCGACGGCTTGTGGAGAACAAACTCAAATCCTTCAAATTCGAAGTAATGGCTGTAGAGGCTCCAGGGGCTACAGATGCAAACGAATCCAGCCACCGTCGCGTTGTGAGGACGCTAGATCAATTTTCTGATGATGGCAAGACATGTCTCAGAAGAACGCTGTCTCAGTTGCAGGCGCGCTTCCCCAAGGTGACAAAAGATATTATGGCATGCATTTTACTCGACCCTCGAACCAAGTCTAGATCCAAAAAAATTGCTGCCGTAGGAGACATTCCTCGCAAGGAGGAGAAGGCCATTTACAAGAACGGAATTGAATTGCTGCGCGCAGAACATCGGACAGTATTTGCTCTAATGGTCAAAGAGGATAAGATCTCTTTATCGCAACAGTCGTCGCAAAGTAGCTTACTTAGCTAATATTCAGCATCGCCTTTTTCATCACCAGCTTCAACGGGCTGGGACGACGAAGATGAACTCCTACTGGGGGGCACCTATCAGGGCCAGAAAAGCACGAGAAGAGGTGAAGGAGATTGAGATCAACGCACGAGCTGATGTCGTGATTAAAAACTGGCTGGATTTGGAGCCGGACTGGCTGGAGATCGCGCAGCACCAGAATCCTGACATCTCGAAGGAGGAGTTGTCGAAAGAGATGTCGATTGACTCGCAAAACGGCATGTGCTGGGCGCTACTGGGTTTATACAAGCACATTGACGTCTTGAAGTGGTTCCGTGACGAAAGCGAGCTGCAGTTCCCCTCGATTGCCTTACTCGCTCGCATCAATCTCGGTAAAATCTCTTCGTCAGCGTTCCAAGAGCGGGTATTTTCGACGGGAGGGATAGCCATGGGGGCCCTGAGAACCAGTACAGACAGTTGGCGAGCGGAGAGGCAGCTTCTGCTGCGGCACAACAGGGCTGAGCTCGGAAGATTGAAGCACGACGCGCGCAAAGCGACCGCGAAAACGCGAATAAATACAAAAGTAGTAGTATGAGTATTAAACAAGTATTACTAATATTACTACTGCCTTGTAAAATCGATACTACTTTCAGTATTTCCCTCTCGATGAAGGCCCAATAGTAGAGGTGATACAGCTACCGTGATATTTTTGGTACTACTAAGCCCGCATTTTACCCCTAATAAGTACCAAATATTTTTTGATTTTTGGGTATTCATGAAAGATCTTTTTCAGCGACGTCGCTCTCGGCTTTTTCTGGACCCCTCTTTTGATTAGTACCGGTATACCTAAATCGCAATTCGTACTTTGGTAAAGAAGTAATTCTTTGTTTGACATTAGCCTCATTTGTCACTCTCCCAATAGAAAGCTCTTGCCGCACAGTGCAAGACCGAAAAAAAGGCTGCCTCAAAGTTTTCTTTATCTTGATCTATTTAAGCTACTTTTGGTGAAAGATAAGTCCATGTACAAGAATAAGGTTCGCCATGAACCGAAACGAATTGAAGAGCTCACTTCGTGCCGGCTTCAAAAGTGGCTACAAAGATGTTAGCCTTGTGTAAGATATGGTACGACTATAAACAGCGGCGTACTTTTATCCGAAAAAATGAATCTAAGCACAAGCATTACAGTAATAATTACCAATTATTGGCCGATTCCGGACGGTGCCCATACGATTTGATTGAAATTGAAGCAATCAAATCGTTTCAAGCTACGAGGATTATTCCTTCCGGACAGACCCACCAATTCATGCCATGAATTTCATGGTTGGCAGAAGTTTGATAAAAAGAGCGACCTGGAGCATGAATTCAATTTTTTTTTATGGCGACGGCGGTGGGAGCGTTTAAGTGGGATAGGTCGACGGCATCAGTGAGCGATCTAGTGGACAGCTGCTGGTGAGCGAGTGTGGAGCGGTCGTGGAGGCGGCGGCGACGGTGGCACTGGTGGGGGGCGAGCGAGCGTGAAGGACGAGCGGCACGACGGCGGTGAGCAGGTGTAAAGCGGCAGCGGGTGATAACGAACCATCGCGATTCGGGTGGGTATATGGGAGGGCGAGGCGCCGTTGATATCGATGGCCAAGTCGTACGTGCTCGGCGCGCGCCCTACAGCGTGGCGGTGTAGTGTGGGCGACGTTTCGATGTGAATTCGTGGTGGATCTCTTGCAAGTTGGTAGAGTTGGATTGGTGCGGCGTGAGTACGTGCGCGATCTGTCCACCGTGGTCAGTTACCATCCCGAGAGCAGGAACTAGTACTTCGCGAAGGTGAGCTTGGAGCACGGGTGCTGGACAACGGGGACCTCGAGATCCTCGAAGACATGATCGTGGTGGCGGAAGGCCAGACCCGAGCAACCTGGCCAATCCGCTCTGAGTCAGGCGCTAACATCCTGCCGGAGAGCATCGACCAGTGCAAGGGCTACAGCGCATTCGCGGTTCTGCTGGACTCGCTGAACGTGGACCAGCCGGACGGAGGTGATGGATCTGATCTCGGCTCTGGAGTTAGTACAAGAGGTGTGTGTAGTACCCGGTTCTTGTCTCTCCCTGTTACGTGCTGTCAGATGCTGGTATGCTTGTGGGAGCCATCTGAAGGATTACCTGAACAGCAACGCAGACAAGATGTCGCGCTCCCTCGCCGTGTCCAAGGTCGTCGTGAATGCTAAGGAGATCGAGCTCGACGGTTTGGCCAAGGACGGCGCCATATCCATCTACGCCAAGCACGCCCGCGTACACTCTGGAGACGCCACACTGGTGCAGCCAGTCCAGCAACTGTACGTGGGCACGATCAAGCAGCTAGCACCATCGCACAGGCGCTTAACGTCACGGGCCCGTTTACCACGTACTAACACCACACCCAGGCAACGGCCCGGGCTAACGATGTCAAGGCGATCAGGGGCATCATGTGCGCCTGTATCGACTACGTGGACGTCAAGGCGCCGCTGTTCTCGTTCACGCGTCTGCACGGCGCTGGCCCGAGTATGGGTGTGGAGTTGGGTTCGACCGGTGAGATGGCCCGCTTCGGCACGGGCATGCACGAGGCGCATCTGACGCGCTGCCGTGTGCCAGCTTCAGGATACCAAGGATATGGTGCTGATCTCGATCGGCAATCAGGACATCAAGCACGAGTTTGCGGAGGGGGCTCGGATCCTGCAGGAGCTGGTTTCGATGTGAAGTTGCGTCGCTGAATCAAATGATGGCATGTAGTAGTTAAACTAAATGTTTGACTAGGATGCTTGTCTTTACATGTTTAGATATCTATTGACAATCAAACGCTGTAAGAAAAATATTTTAGTTGCACTGTAATTAAGTAGCCCATCAGCGGCGGGGTGTCAAACCCGCAAGTGTACAACCTTCAAGCTGCAGTTTTATACTAGTAATGCTACGATGGCGCTGAAGCCTTGGTATGCTCGCTGCAGCGGTCCGTCACAAAGTGCAATTATCCAGCAAGTGCTCCTAACGTGCTAAATTTGTATTGCCCTAAATTTGATAAGACGCAATGATTCCGGACTGTTCCGGAAATAAGTTGGTATGCTAAACACCTATCCCTATTGCGATGGGATTGGCTAAATCCATGAATTTTGGTTCATTTCTGTAGTCTCATTGGTGCGCTCAATTATTAGCCTACGAAGAGGGCTCGGGTCTCCGGACCGAAGGGACTTATCCTACAGTAATGCTTATCTTTATCTAACGCAAATGTAAAACTGTCGTAATCATTAGTACATGTACTACTGCAAAAAATTACTCGCAAAAATATGAAAATGCCATAACTTGGAATAAGCAAAATATGGTCCCGAATTTAGGTATGACTTCACAGTGTTAAATCTAAACAGAAAGTGCTCCGCGCTGACGAGCACGTCGGTGCCAGCGTCGTGAGTCCTTCGGGTGAAGCGAGTACTGTTCCTTGTGCAATGGCGATTGACCTAATAACTGAACTAAGCTTAGGTGAAGGTGAATACATCACTGTCGTGAAGGTGCACGCGGGTAAATATAGGGTACGCACCCCAGTCAAGTAAATCAAGTTCACCACAAACTTAGAAAGGTCTATCGAGGGCGGCTCAAAGACAAACAAAATTGGAACGGACGCTGCGAGGGGAGGCTACCAGTTGGGTGGTTTTGATGGCAGAAAGCGGTGACGAGCTTGATCTCAGATCAGATATGGGGGTCAGTGCCATCTGGACAAGCATTCAGCCGGTGGCTCAAAGTTTGAACCACCGCTTGAATGGCAAGTTTGACCTTCAAACTTGAGGGGAATAGTGGTGTAGTCGTCTGAGGTGTTGGTGTAGATCAGTATTCAAGAGATATGATAACCACCCGGTGTAATACCTGCCAAAACATGCTATTTCTGGACGGTGTATTGTGACGTTGGAGTAATTTAGGGAGTAAAAATAGGTTTAGATTAGAATCAAATACAGCGCACAATAACCATTTTAATACCTCATAAATTGTTTATACTCGTTTTGGGTTGCTGTTTCTGCGGGTAGCAGGGTCGGCTGCTCGTCCTCAGGTCAACGATAGATGAAAATGACTACAGTACTACTTGCGAGTTAGCCATATGAGACATGGAAATATAATTTATCAGAATGATAGGAAAAAAATCATTTCGTCTTCGATTTTTCATTTAATCTAGATGGATATATCGTGATTACGATGGGTGAATTTATCGTATAAATCTCCGGCACAAATAACGGAAATTCACCCCTCGCTGCGATTGTATTGTCATTTTAAATTTTGCCACGATAATGAGCTATGGTGGGCCGATTCCAAGATATTTGGTGAAGCATTGCCTCCCTTCGCAAGGAGGCTCACTACAGCATGTTGTGCGATCTATCGAGGAGCACCTTTCCTTGTGCCATAAGATCTTTACAGCTGCATGTGGAAGAGGCGAACAGGTATGCACCTTAAGCTTCTTACTTCAAAGAACCACGCCACTGTGGACAGAAGCTATCTGTGCTGCAGCTGGAGGTGGACATCTTCATGTGCTTCGTTGGATGACCCAGCTGCCAGATGGTCGCGGTCCGTGGAAGAATGATTTTAAAAGGATGCTACGTGTAGCTGCTTCAAAAGGTCATTTGGATGTTGTCAAGTGGCTGTACACCAGAGGGATCGATTGGCGTACACTTATGAGGCTACCCCTTCATGATGAATTCTTTGAAAAGAGATTGTTATATGAATATTGCTCTTCGAAAGCACTGGAACTGGCAGCTGAAAATGGGCATTTCGACGTGGTCCAGTGGATTTACAACACAGGGAAAGACATCATCATCTCGGATAAGGCATTTGATTGTGCTGTGGTCCATGGTCATCTCTCGATAACACAGTGGCTGTATGCCCTCCATCCACACCACATATGAAACAGTTGGCGGTGACCCGGGTCACACCAATGACCCGGTACTCAACAATTCTGTCATAAAACAAATGCATTATTTAAGTTTCTGTGATCAGGCAATGCCGACTATTCTTTCCTTGCTGCAGCTCTGGATGCACTGCAGCTTCGATCCAACGTCCGAGTTAAGCTAAATGATGTCGTTCCTAAAATATGTGGTGTCGCCATCAGGGCTGTAAAAATTAAAATGTTAGATTAATCTTGGCCTGAAAACATCAAGAATGAATTATTGAGTTAATTGCCAGAATTGCCAGAATTGCGGCGGATTGTAGCTCGAACTTCTTCTACAGTGTACACACTCCACAGTGAACGGTTGCAGTGCAGGAAGACTAGCGTCTCCAGAGTAACGCGATCCATACTCTTCCTCACGTCACTAAATATAAGCTTTGCACGTGAAAAAAGTCTCTCGCACTCATTCGATGTAGGCGGTACGTACCCGACGTCGACATACGCACTCCGCTTCGCTGTCTTGAGCCTTTTGAGCGCTTGAGCTGCAAATGACGGACCTTCAGGGCTCTCTTCAGCTTGATCTTCATCAGGGCTGCTGGTGACACGAAACGCCGCACAGGCAGCTCGCTCAGGCGGCGTGAGAGATTGACCTCGCTGGATCTTGACCAGACCGGATTCGAGTGCAGGATAATTGACGATTGCGGCGGTTGGGGACAGTCGGATTTTATTTCCGGGTATTTGGAAATAGCGTGGTCGAAAAGGCGCCGAGCGGCGGATAGCGTCAAACTTGTACCTTGAAGAGTCTTAGGAACCGACTCAAAGTTGGTCAAATCAGCAAGTAGTGAAGTGACGCGAATGTTTTCCGACAGTCTTAACAAAAGCGGCTCCAATTCCGAAGCAGCAACGGTTTCGTCATCTAGTGAGCGCAACACCGGTTCCAGTTTCGTGTAGCGTCGCAGCATCTCGTACGTACTTGACCAGCGTGTATCATTGCGCACTCCTGGGTCGTGAGAGTGCGGACAAGAATGCGAGTTTCGAGGGGCATGGTAAATTGCAGAATGACTAATGTGCTAGTATGCGTGGATGAATGGATTCACGCGTCTTGTAAGCTTCCTTCTCGGCTTTAAAACTACTGGTTGTCAAGGCTTGAGGTGAGTAGCACAGTAAAAAACAATATTTTTACTGTGTCTGCTACTGTAAAAATTGGGTAAACTTTTAAACTTAAATTTTGTACTACCAATTAATAATTAAATCAATTAATTGTTAAAATAATTACATTATGAGCACCCCTGGTCGCCATCAATATCTGAGGTTGCCGATACTGAAATGTTGTTATTGGCGTCGACTGCGTGGTCATTAGTCATCACTGTGCTGCTAGAAGTGCCCGAATTCGAATCATCGATATGCAGGCTGCTTAGGATTTGTAGACGGGGTGTCAGAAAGCGCAGGATAAATGTGAATTTTGTTGTATGAGCTTGTTGCTCCCGAGGTCGTCCAATTGGTCGCTTTGCTTGCACTCATACAGCTACTTTTCTCTTCGTACTTCTTGCACCTTTGTTAGCGTCACTAGGCTCGTCCTTATTCTCGCTGAATGCTGATTCATCCGGATAGTAAGTTAAATACTCGGCAGGAATCGATAAATATTTTAACGACAACGATTTAAGTTTTACTGCTCAACTTTCCCAGTGCCAAGTAGGGCACAAGCACGCTCAAATGCAGTAAGTCATTCCGAGGCTTTTGTTTCTTCCGTGGTGCAGTCTGACTCGAGCCACCTGTGCCGCCAGCTCGTCGTTCTGTCGTAGGAGGGTCGCTCATTTGAGCCAACAGTGGAAGGATCGCAGTCCAAACGAGAAATGGTACTGAAGCACCTGGTGCTAAAATTACATAAATATTTCAGATTTTGCTCTAATAATAGTTGGTGACCCGGGTCACCGCCAATTGGTTCATATGTAGCCTCTGGGCTATCGGGGAAGCTGTTAGCAACGGTCACCTAGAAACGGTGCAGTGGCTGCATTCAAATCATCTCCTCTATTGTACGAAGGCTGAAATGGATGGAGCAGCCGAAAACGGTCATTTGGAGACATTGAAGTAGTTGCGTCGAACGCGAGGTGAACGTTGTTCCAAAAGAGCTTTGCTTCTCGCCGCAAACAACGGACATCTAGACGTCGTCAAATGGCTTTGTGAAAATTTCAGCTTCACCAAGTGCAGTCAATGGGGTTGCTCGACCGCAGCTGAACGAGGGCATTTAGACGTGTTACAGTGGCTACATGAACATTTACCGAACATATTCCGCATCCATGTAATGGAAGGTGCTGCGATAAATGGTCGTTTGGATATTATCCAATGGCTGCATGGTCATCGAACTGAAGAGTGTTCGGAAACTGTATCGCTTAAAGCAGCAGAATTTGGACACCTCGAGGTCCTACAGTGGCTTCACGTGCACTACCCACACCACTTCGTACCTAAGGCGATGGACCGGGCGGCACAACATGGACATCTTCACGTCGTTCGATGGTTAAATGAAAATCGAGATGAAGGGTGTACAGCAAAAGCTATGGACAGAGCTGCCCGCAGTGGCCACTTGGATGTGGTTTTGTATCTAATGGAGCACAGAAACGAAGGATTCTCAAGTGACGCTATGATGGCAGCGCAAAATTTTGAGGTAAAATGCTTGAACACACAGCAAAAGTTATGCCGAGGCCAAGTGTCGCCTGCTTCGTTGGTCACAGTGGAACGGATTTATAAGAAGCGACCCGATTTTATCAAGAGTTGCTTGAGGTGTCTCGCGGAAATCTCAGCTAGTGGCGCCCATATCGCTGGATGAAACCGCTAGGACTTGAACTGTGCACAACA